AAAACATTCTCTGAGCTGTATGCATCCTGCCTTTTTTGCATTCCTCGCTTCCTTGGGGATTCTCTCTAGACCTGTTTACACTTCCCTCGTAAATGGTTAGCATTAGCAAACCGATCTACCAGGACAAAGTTCTGATGTGCTAACAAAGTGTTAGTGGATTTAACTAAACTTTAAGCTTCTCTCCTCTACACAGGACTGAACTTTGACCCACACTTAGCCTGGGTCCAGTATTGGCAGCAGAAGACCACCCTTGGCAGAAAGATATTCCATGTGTCTTGCTTACTCCTTTTTACAAAAGAAGTTCTGGGGTTCTCCCTGTTGAACTAATGTCCCTCCCTATTATAAAAGTCCCCTTTCTCCTTCTTGCAATAATCCTTTCAAATAAATTCTCTCCTTACCTAAGTCTAGAGTTGTTTTCTATTTAGCAATACTTTGGCCCAGCTTCATTATAAGTAAATGGACTTGTGACTAGCCTGGAAATCTAAGTATTAACCTGTTTATTTATTCATTCACTCCATAAACACTGATTGAGACTTTTTATTGAATTTATTAGGGTTACATTGGTCAATACAATTACGTAGGTTTCAAGTATGCAGTTCTGCAATACATCATCTGCACATCTGCTCACCATCCAAAGTCTAGTCTCCTTCCAACATCATTTATCCCTCATTTACCTCTTCCACCTGTGCCACCCCAGTTCCCTCTGGTATTCACCATACTATTGATTGAGAACTTTACTATCGTGGCTTTGTAAGGTGTACTTCAGCTTGGCTGGACTATATTTTCTGGAATTCCCTTTGGATTTTATGGGATTCTATGGGGGACTTGGAAGGCAGGATGGAGCCACAGGCTTTTTGTAGCTGACTTGGAGACATGAGGCAGTGGCTGGGCTGACAAGGGTTTTACTGTACCCTGGGTTTGCCTTCACCTTCACTGTCATCAGCTGCGTGGTGTTCAGCTCCCTAATGAAGGAGCCTGGCTTCTGCAGGGTACCCATTCTCCCAAGGTCAAAGTCAGCAAGAATTGATGAGGTCTTTGTTCCTGTGAGGGCCAGCTTGTGCTGTGGGTTTAGCTTGTTCTTATTCTCTTCCACTTTAAATTAATTTCTCTTTCCCAACTACCTCTTCTAGTAATTCAGTCTTCAGCAGCATATGGGAAGAAACAGCCTACCAAAATTGCTGAACTACCACACTGAAGTGCAGACGGCTGAATCCTGTGACACAACTACTTCTGTTTCTCTTTGAACCCTGTCTGAAACACACAACTCCGATCAATAATCTGAGCAACTGTGAGCTTAGAAGAAACTTGAACAAATTACCTGTTAAGAACTCATAATCTAATAAAGGAAATAAAACATGTACATAACTAAAGAAAATGCCCCTAAATTACTTTATGTATGTGCTGTGGATTTGATGACATTTGGATACAGCCTTTTTTATGGAGGACATTTTGATGTGGTCTGAAACAGAAATAATTTTTCTTTTCAATTTTATAATTAAATTATATTAAAAACTGATTAACTTAATGTATCCCCAATCCTTACTTCTTCTTGAACCTTATCCCATCCTTAAACCTAAGGGTGAGGTGTATATAGTGTATATCTACACTAATAAAAGAGAAACATGGTAATTGGCATACAACTGCTACCCTTCCCATTGGCTAATCAGGAAGATATGCAAATTAACTGACAGCCAAGATGGCAGCCGGCAGCCAGCAGCCAGGCAGGTTGAAAGTGTGAGTGGGTGAGCCTGGGAGCCTATTGAAACCATGGGGTAAGTCATAGCCTCTCTACTCTCTCCCCCCCTCTTCTTCCAGGTCTTTGGTCCAAAGCAAAAGAGACTTCACTGAATGTCAAGGTCAACCTTCAGGAAAACAGAAAAGGGAAGTGAAAAACAATAGGGGTGAAGGTCTCTTCTGAGGCATTGCCCACTGCAATCCTGTAGAGCTGGCTCTAGCCACAGTCCCTGACATTTTCTAAGAGAAAGAGAAAATAGAGCTACAGTGAAACTTGCCCAAGGGCTCCCATACCCAGAACTGCTTTTGAGTCCCCAAAGTGGTTGTGCCATTTTGCCATTTGCGTTCTGCTGCAAGGCTGTCATCGCGTCAGGTTGTGATCCTGTGGGGGGG